CTTGATTCTATCCTTGTATCCAGGACGTGGTTGAGGTTAGGGTTGAGGAATTTGCGACTGTCTCTTTGGCATCACTTCGATAGGCATCGCCCGGGACGCCGTGGCCAAGCGGGAGTTCGCTGGCATGCTGGTGGCACGGGATGTGCCTTGATAACTGTTTTGGAGCCCAGCACGGGCTTTGGGCGGTTCGAATGCAGAATGTAGGGTTTAGGATCAACTTAAACCTTCTGGAAATTCCTCCATATTCCTGGCGGTAGCATTGTCCCATTTCATCTTGAAGCCGACATCCGACCCCCTTGATAGTTCCAGTTTGTCATCAGTGATGCGAAGGAACGTGGGAGATCGCCGTTGCACGTGGCGGCTACGCGAGGACCCGTCCCGAAAAGGGTCCAATATTTGTGGAGGTAACCTTACTGGTTCTATAAGCTTCGAGGATATGCAAGCTTAGTTAGGGTTTGGGGGTTTGGGGTTAGAGTAATCAAGGGATTCGGGTTCAGGAGTTTAGGATTTTGCGGAAGTTTTTCGCTGTCAGATAACATGACCCGAAAGCAACCGATGTCAAACCCAAAACCTAAGCCGAAGACACTTAATCTTACGCGATGTGCGTGAGCACACTGCAACACTCAGACTTTCAGCTCCACATAATAACCCACTTAGGGTGCGGGTTTCATGAGTGTTCTTGGATTTGGTCGGTTTATTGGCCCCACACCCTGAACTGAATGCACTCAAGCCCATGCCCTAAACCCTAAAACCTCATTCTGAAGCAGTGGGCAGGTGACTTGCGCCTCTGCCGGGAGATGATCCAAGCCGACCCGGGCTTGGTGTCACCCGGCTTTGCTTGTTGGGGGTCTAAGACTTCAGGGTTTAGGCTTAGGTGTTATGAGGTTTAGGGTTTAGGGTTTAGGTGTTACAAGGCTTAGGAGTCGAGGATTCGGGCTGGCGCGAAGGAGGCGTCTGAGATGGCGAATAAGATACACTTTGCACGCCGTCGAAACTCACTGCCCGGTCACCTCTGGCGTCGTCAACCCTGGAGACTCCGCCGAAAAACGCCGAAGCCCCAAGTCTTCAAATCTGAAACCCCCAAAGCCCACAGTTTAGGGTTTAAGTTTAGGGTTTAGGGTTTTAGGGGTTGAGGGTTTAGAGGTTTAGGGTTGAGGCCCGAGCCCTGATCCCCATCACATCTTGTCTTGCGGAGGAATGCGCTGGACAAGCAGAAGAACACGCCAGTAATGGATGCAGCTTTTCTCGGTCGTGCGATGATCGTCAAGGACTCTCTATTGCAGACCCCCGCAGGAGGCCCTAGACCCCATCTCCGCACCCGAAAAACCGTAGACTATTACCCTACCAGCAACTCCAACCAAAAGCTTGCCCTGCGTGCACCCTATAGAGAGAGCTTGTTCGGTATCGCCCATAATCCAGGCAGAAGTTCGACCCCAAAATCCCAAACCCTGGACCCCTAAAACCTAGGCCCTCAACATCACTAAACCCTAATCTAATAAACCTTACAAAACCCTAAACCCGTGGCCTTAAACATCGCTAAACCATAGTCTAGGCCCTAAACCTTATGAAACCTTAAACCGCTAGGTCCTAAGCATCACTAAACCCTAGTCTAGGCCCTAAACCTCATAAAACAAAAACCTTAAACCCTATATGCCCTAAAGATCACTAAACCCTAATCAAGGCCCTGAACCTTATAACGCCCTAAACCCTAGGCCCTGAACATCACTAAATGCTAATCTAGGCCCCAAGCTTTATAAAAGAACCCTATAAACCCTAAACCCCAAAACGACCCTAAACTCCAAATTCTGCGAGATCCAGGTCGGTTTTGGCATCCTGAACTGGAACCCCTGAAGCATTCAACTTAGTCTTCAGGGTTTGGAGGTTTAGGGCTTTAGGGCCTTTAGAATTGTAGGGTTTAGGGTTTCAGACCCTAAACCCTAAGCCCTAAGCCCTAAACCCTATAAACCCTAAACCCTAAACCTTAAAACCCTAAACCCGAAACCCTAAGCCCTAAGCCCTATAAACCCATTCAAAGGTCTTCCGAGCGTGGGAGTTCGGGCTCGTACTGCTGTACAGTTGAAGGCTTAGGGCTGTGGGTTTGTGGTTCCATAAGGGCTCTGCAGATCTCTGCAGGGGTTCTGTAGGGGGAGGTTCTATAAGAGCTCTTTAAAGAAGTGTTAGGATGTAGGGCAGCCCAAATTATAATTCCTAGTGCTTCGCATGACAGGATCCAGATTCCTTGTTGATGACACGTGGCTGATGTTTGCGCCTGGTACATGCCCAAACCTCGACCGTCCGTGGAAAAGGCATTGTAGCTTCAGTATGAATGACGAAGCGAACCTTACTGTGCGGGATTCGTTCGCCCGAGATTTCGACGATACTGAATGAAGACAATCAAGTCCCATGCTTGCTTGAACGGGGTGGAGCTTATCTTCACGGTTGTAAACCCTGTATGTCAACTCATATTGCCCCCTGCAGACTGCAAGACCAGCATCCCTAGTGGAATATTCCTGCAGGAATACTCCCATGACCACCTGCTCTGTCATCCTTTTCCCAAAGGGTCCAAATACCATTATAGTAGGTACTCGTAGGTATTTGGGCCCCAAAAGTATATACTGTACTAGTACCTGGACCCTTTGGGTTTAGTTCAGGGCCAAGGTCCTTCACTAAACCCTAAACCCTATTTTTTGGAGCGCAGGGCACGGGGCTCAAAGGATTTTCGGCTTCAGGGCTGCAACATGCGTACGTAACCTCGGCAACCCCGAACCCAAAGGCTCCATGTACTGTTATAGTAGATACTTAGGCCTTAAAGGGGTCCCTATATAGGTACTTTAAGGCTTAAGTATCTACTATATGGGTACATGGAGCCTTAGGGGAAACTGTGGAGCTTGCATCAGGAGCTCATTGAGAATGCTGCGGAGGTCACGCAAAAGAACGCCGACCTCATGAACCCGTTACAGCTTGCCTGCGTGGCTTGGCGGGCTGGATTCTCATGCTGCATTTTGCAATCTCGGTCTTTATGCAGCATTTCCAACCCCTGCCGACGTGTTGCCAACCGGGGCTTTCCGAAAATCCCCAATATAGTGCCCTATAATATAGTAGGATCCTTAGTATAAGGACCCCAAAACAAGGTAGCCTCATTTTCGGAAACTCCCAACTCCTCAAAACTCCAGAATCCGGAAGCGCAAGTTGTCAACTTTTTACCATGTAGCGACAGGTTTGCCACTCCGTGAGCACACAATATCGGGGATACGATATATCTACGCCTGATAAGCTCCTGGGGCTCGACTTTAACCGTCTCAACATCCTGGAAGGCAAATCCTCCGACTTCATGGTTTGTTTCATGGGCTATGCCTTTTTTCGCGGTGAAATGACGGTATATTATAGACCGGCGAGGTCAATGAAGGCGCTGGCAACGGTGACGTCGTGGCCGCTCTCATCGAGGCCCTCGCTGATCCTTCTGACATGTGCCGCTGGCCTTGTTGACAGATCTGTCTTATCAGCATAGCTATCGTGATTTTGATTCCTACATATTGCTACTGTTGTATTGTGCCGGGAATCTAGAACAAATAAAGCCATGTCTTGGTCAACTTGGCAATCTAGCAGTCTTGGTCATGTTGCTCGGCCACTGCTCATCTTGCCCCACTTGCTCGGTCACCCGCCGACTAGTTTGCATCTTAGACCAAGATGAGCAAGATTGCACAGTCAACTTCCCCCCAGTGGGGCAAGTGGGACAAGATTGCAAGATTGTAGGCATATTGCAACATTGTTGGCAATCTTGCTCAAATAACTGTTCTAGATTCCTGGCACACTGTACTGTTGTTTTTAGTTTCTTTATTCTTGTCCTCCTTCATCGATTTGCCAGGAGTTGGGATTTCTGACTAGCCCACAATGAGTCAGCGCTGTCCAGGATGTTGTTGAAGAAGCAATGGCTTCAGACTTTGAACAATGTGTGGGGTTTAGGGGCATTCTATCCAGGCATCAGCAGCTGCTTTTTGGATCGCGATCACGGGCTTTTGTAAGCAATTGAAAAGGCGAAATTTTCATTTGTCTATGTGGCCAATATGAGTCCAGATGTCTCGGCATCAGGGTTCAGGGTTTGGGGTAGCTCTGACACGGTGATTTGCCACATGCGTTTGCTGGTTTCGTCTGTATGCAACAGGAGCAGTATGTAGCAACAACAAACAACCACAACCACAGCAGCAACAACGACAACAACAACACAAAAACACCGCCGCCGCCACCGCCGCCACCAGCTGCAGCAGCAGCAGTGGCCAATCAACGGCAGCCGGAGCGACAACAACAACGACGACGACGACGGCAACAACCACAGCAACTAGGCTAATCGCAAACATCACAGCAACCATGACAAGAAGCACACTACATGAATCAGATATCTTGCCCTGGCGTTAAGTATGGTGAGAACGGCTGTTCCCATGGCCCTTAATCAAGCTGGCAAGTCCGCAGTTTGGGGTTTAGGGTTTAGGGGCTCTTCTGCTATCGTCTTCTTGCCGATACTTGCACTTCGAACCTGTCTCTTCTGCTCAAGATCATTGCTTGGAATATGCAGTATCTCAGTCTCCGTTCTTCAGCATGAGTACCCGCAGAGCTACATACCTCTTAGCTACGGAACAGGATGAAGCATGTACTTCATCATCAGTCACCGATCACAACTTCAGGGGTGTTGGAGTAATCCTGGTCATGGGGTCTTAAACTCTACACTCTCAACCTTCATTCCTGAATACTAAGGCTGGCAGACGACCCCGCTGATGGCTGCGGCAGACAGTGGCCACATCTGGGCCCTTCACGCACTCATCGATCTTGGGTCTGCTCCTTTGCCCGTGTTAGCTGCAAGTAAGTGGGTTCCAGGGCTTTACTGCTTAGGGTTCAATTTCTAGAGTTTTATTACTGTTGGGTTCAATTGTTGGGTTTTACTGTTTAGGGTTCAGTTTCTAGGGTTTCACTGTTGAGGGCTCAACTTCTAGGGTTTTCCTGTTGAGGGCTCAATTTCTAGGGTTTTACTGTAGAGGGTTCAGGTTCAGGGTAAAGTGTTTTTTGACATTAACTGATGTAGATTGAAAGTTGGAAAAGGAGTTCCCAAGCGGTGACCGAAAAGCGTACTGGTATGGTTCTGCATGGGTTTGTTGACGTTGGTTTTAGGGTTGGGGGTCTGTGCAGTTTGGTTGCTCGGGCTCAGGGCTTCCTCTATTTGATGAACAGAGTATCAACAAGGCCTAGGAAGAATAACACCAGGTCCGAAGAGCAGCAAAAGTGTGACAAGAAGAAGCGTTAAGAAGTTCTTACCACCAGCAGCAGCCATTCTTACGTTGCTAGGGTTCAATTCTAAATTCGCCTAGGACCCTAAACCCTCAACCCTAAACCGTCGGATGCAGTTTGTGTTGTCGGGACTAGGCTTCGAGAGCTTTGTCTTCGAGCGCTTGGACTAGCTTAGAAGCCCCTAGAGTCACCAGGGTGGGTTTAGGGTTTCGGGTTTGGGGGTTTGGGGTTTGGGGTTTGGGGTTTAGGGGTTAGGGTTTGGGGTTTAGGATTTAAGGTTTGGGATTTAGGGGTTTAGGGGTTTAGGGGTCAGGGTTTACGGTTTGGGGTTTAGGGCTTAAGGGTTAGAGGTTTGGGTTTAGAGTTTAGGGGTTTGGGGTTTGGGGTTTGGGTTTCGGGTTTAGGGCAGAGCTTAGGGCTAAGGGCTTAGGCTTCAGGGATTCAAACACTGGACCAGGGGCTGAGAGGTCGAGGGATGCGAGACGTAGAGTTTTGGTGTACCCATAGGCCCCAAAGTAGTTCCTTTTGGGGGTTACCTTATAGGATTCTATATATGAACCCCCAAAACGAACTACTTTAGGGCCTACGGGTAGGTTAAGGTTAGATGCAAGTGTTTAGACTTCCTGCGTACAACAGACACCAGGTGAGGTTTAGGAAATATCCGCAGGGCTATGACACTTTGTCAGCACGGTGATCTGTGTAGCTATCCGTGCAGCTTCAAGCACAGGCAACTTTATGATACAGACCAATAACCTGCACAATTCCCCTAAACCCTAAACCCTAAACCCTAAACCCTAACTGAAACCCTAAACCCTACCTTTCAGGCTTTAGGCGACCCAGAGCCCTCTCAACCGTGAGGCCCAAACACTAAACTGCAAACCTCCGAACCCTAAACCCCAAGCCCGACACCCCTTACACCCTAAACCCTAAACCCTAAACCCCTTACACCCTAAACCCCTGGCCCCTATAAATCCCTAAGCCCCAACTAAGCCCTGAACCGCTACACCCTAAATCCTTAAAGCCCTAAGCCCAAAAACCCTCACCCACACAGCCCTACGTTTTTTTAGGAACTGTATAGAAACCATATTAAGGATGCAACGGGTAGGTCTTTTCGGCTACAGATCAACCCTCACCCACAAAGCCCCCTGAGATTCCGTAAACCCTAAACCCCTGAACCCTCTACAGCTTAAAGCCCTAAAGCCCCAAAGCCCAAACCGTCACGGACAAAGCCCCCTGAGGATCCATGGCAAATGAACGGCTCCGGCCTCACCGCTTTGGATTATGCTCGGGATATGGAGATCTTTGGCTCCCTTTTGGGGGTTTAGGGTTTAGGGATAGGAGGTTAAGACTTTAGGCTTCAGGGTTTAGGAGCTTCGGGTGTAGGTGTTTAGGCTTGAGGGCAAGACGGGCAATACCCCTAAAAGCTCTGAACCTGAAAGAACTGAAAAAACTTCGAGCCCGAGATGTCCCAAAGCCAGCAGCCCTGAGAGGCCTAGCCATAGGGGCTTCATTCTGGTGATGTGGGATGCTCCCGGGCTTGAGATTTAGAGTTTGGAGTTTGCAAGTGCTGGTTCAGAGGCACATTCAAATTGGGGCCAGCAAAGATCTAAGGCTAAGGGGTGTACGTCAGGAACCGAAGAAGCAGCCAAACATACCCTGTTGGGTTGGACATCCCTAGCTTCGGAGCCTTGCTTACGGAGGGATTCTGGGATGACCTTAGGTGTTATTTTGTGTCACTTGCGTCTTCGGGTCCCTATAACTGTTGGAGGAGTTGTGCTTCAGCTGCCATATCTTGGCGACTACTGCGCACGTACAGGGCGAAGCTCGATGATCTCGCCATGAATCGAAGACCAACATCCCAAAATGAGGGCCCAGGTTGCCTTTAGCCTCGAAGGCTGCGGGGGCTTGTGCCAATATCTTTGGGAATCTCAGTCTATCTTCCCTGCTTTGCTTTAGGCATGGGGCTCCACTCCTGCAAGCAGCGTCCCTCCCGGAAGGCAAGATTCCCGTAGATCACGGGACTTGGTAAGTGTGCTGAGAAAGTACCCTCAGTCGCGGTTGCATGTAGCTGTAAGTTATGAGTGTAGTTACCTTCCTAAACGTACCCTCAAACCCGAGCCCTAAACTTACCTTCCTAAGAGCAACCCTAGTTACTGCGTTTCAAGGGTGTCAGGTCCTGGATGAGCTCTGAGATCTAGCTATCCGGAGCAACACAAGAAGCATCACTTTGTAATTCCTGCACAAGGATACTTTTCTAGCTCTTAGAAGCTAACCCAAGCCAGCCCGAACCATTATGCTAATGACTAAGGCCCTTGTATTGCCCCAGGCTCGGTTGTGCAGTTTAGGCGATAATTAGTGTGCCATCAGCCCGCAACAGCCGGTTCTTCCTTCTGCTGTGCCTACAAAGGACAGCTGAGTTCTTGTGTCTCGGAGAAAGGTTTCTTCAAATGAGGCTTTGAGGGTTTAGGGATCCGGCCTTCGGGTTTAGGCTTTGGGGGTGAGCGGTCTGCATATTTGCAGCTGCTGGCTTTGGCCCTGGACAGCTGAACATTTAATACTTGGGGCTTGCAGTCTTAAGGTTTAGGGGGTGCTGTCGATGGCCCTGGGCTATGGGATTCTCGGCACGTTCCCGGCAATGGGTACTGCAGTTTTATGTCCATCGACAGTACAGACTCATCGACCTTATAGCCTCTACATCAGAATTGTACAGGCACGATACCTTCGCCAGCCACGATAGCCCCACTTCACATCTACTCACTAAAGCTGCCGAAGCTCTACCTACCAAGATATCCGAACAAGCACCAAAGCCAACGACGCAGCACACACAAATCATACCCTAGTTGTAGACTGGCTAAGGCAGGACAGTGGTAGCTCGAAAAACCGTTTGAATGATAAGGGTACCCATGACTAGTGTAAACCATCATGTTTTCCCCTTGCTCTAAGGATCGCTGTTGTTGCTGCTATTCGAGGGGTTGGCTATTGACCAGGCAGTGCTCAAACCCTAAACCGCCTAAACCCTTAAACCCGGAAACAGAACATCAAACTCTAAAACGCCAAACTCAACTGCCTGGTCCCTCCCACATCGATATGTAACATAATGAGGATTTTTGATGGTAAGTCCCAGCAAAAAAAACCCTTGATTGCTGAACAGACTTAAGCCAACTGACTCTATTGCCGAACAAGCCTGAGCCCGAGTCTTCATCAAGGTACTACCTACTTCAAAGGAATCTAAAGCCCGAAACCCCTGGAAACCCACTCGAAAACCCTAAACCCCTAGACCCCTAACCCCTACACCCCTAAACCCCTAAACCCGAAACCTCAAGGTACGGCCTCATGGAGGGCGACAAGCTCTCAGACAAGGCCGCGCCGCGCATCGACACCTCGAAGCTTTTCAAGGCCCGTCAACATTGAGGATCCAGGGATGTAACTAAACCCTAAACCCTAAACCTTAGGGTCCAGGAAGTCTAGGGTGTAGGGTTTAAGGTTTGGGGTGTAAGTCTAGGAACTCCGAGTTTAGGGTTTAGATTTGGGGTCTAAGTCTAGGAACTTCGAGTTTTGGGTCTTGGCGGGTTTATGGATATTGGGTTTTGTATATGGAGACCGCGTGGACATGTTCAGGTCTGTGCCTGGCCGCTGTTGTGATATAGATGTCTAACCGATGAGTAGGATCTATCCCCTTGTTGCCCGTGAAGATTTTCTTACCGTAGATGTCAAGCTATCATGTACCACAACACCCTACTGAGCCCTACTTTAATCACTTGAGGTCTGTCTTAGTTAACTGTTCTTGTTCAGGCAATTCGGTTGGCATGCTGGCAGAGATAGGGTGGAACAGCATTACTTGGTAGCCAAAGACATTCAAGCAACCTGAAGCAATCATGCTGAGCTTTAGCCGGACTTCAGGGAGGAGAGGCGTGGCGACTTGCATGTCTAAAGTCTTCAAAGGGCAGCCTCAGACGCCGCAGTAGACGCGGCCTTTAACGTCCTTTTAAATTCCGTTTAGCTTAGTGCAGCCCAGTAGCTTGAGCCTGGAATGCTAAAATCCTGACACAGCTACTGCCGTGGCTCTGCAGGGCGAAGTCCCCAAACCCTCCGCGCTGGTAGAGTTCAGGCCCGAACACACGGGAAAATCCAGCAAATGATGCAAGCCGTGACTTCAATACCCAGCAAACCTAGAGCCCCAAACCCGACAATACCCTTAACCTGTCAAGCCAATGGCCTCCAAACCCCTGTAAAGGAAAGCCTTGTGAGGAGCTCTAGGACGCCAAAACCGAAGCCGTTTAAGGGCCTAGCACGTCTCAAGAAATGCCACACAGGACGCCGAGGCTCGCCGCGCCCGGCTGCACCGCGCTGCGTGCCGAAGACTGCAGTTCTTTTGAGATGTCCTGAAACCCCGATAAATCCTGGGTAGTATTAAGGAGACCCCTTAAACGGGACCTTTCTTCACCATACTTATGGGTGTCTGAAAAGGGACCTTATTGAGAGGGTCTATATCCTCAAGGAAAAAGCTGCCCACCCCGGGTTCGAGGCTTTAGGGATCTAGAGTTTCGGGTTTTGGGGCTTTTAGGGTTACGGATCCAAGTTGTTGAGGTCACTGAAAGAAGCCCTAAAATGGTAGGTCGTCCACATGTTCAGGTACATGTGACGCCTGAACCGTGAAGGGTTTACAGGGTTTACAGCCTGCGCCCCGCACAATGTTGAATTGAGTTGAAGTTCTGCCCAGCCCAATACCCTAATTGCCACAATGTTCTTCTGAAAAACCACATAATGTAAACAATTACCAATACTATTTTGGGGGTTTCCTTACTATAACTATAATGGGCCCCAAAACCCTATTCTAGTTATTAAGGCCCCTATATTAGCCCTAGCACCGTATTTGCAGACCCCAACTCCCTTTCAGCAACCGAGAAGGCAGTTCTTACAGGCGACGATCCAAAGCAAAGGGATCTGGAGCCTTTCTTAATTTTGGGGTTTGGGGTATACCATACTATAATTGATTATAATAAGGAAACCCAAAACCCTGTTCGAATTATTGAGGCACCTACATTACTCCCAGGACTCCCAGCTGTTAAACACCCTGGCCTCAAATCGGCAACTGCCTCAGACCTAAATCCTGCCCATGAACACTTGTAAACCCTTATCACACCTACCTAAACTTCAGAATATATGCCTTAACTTCAACAGCTTCTAAAGCCCTGAACAAAGAACTCCAAAAGATATAAACTTGCCAAAAACAGCATAAGCAAACTCTACACACCTAAACTTACCGAGGCCACAGGTGAGCCTGGAGGAGAGAGAAAGTTTTGGGGGTTTGGAGCTCATCGGGTGTAATGCAGGGTTTAGGGTTTAGGGGCCTAAATAAATACCAATGACATTCTGAGGGCTCATTATTATTGTATTTTATAATGGGCCCCAAAACCCTACTCTAATGATTAAGGCCCCTATTAGGGTTCGGGAGATCTAGAGCCTCAGGGCTTTGGGATGTGGGGATTCAGGGTTTAGGGCTTTAGGTCTGCGGTTGTGGGCCAGGAGTTTCGATTTATAGCGATAAGGGTTTGGGGTCAAGGGATTCGGGCTTCGGCTGCGTGGGGAGGATCGTGGTTTTTTGTCGGGGGGGTTTTCTGGCAGAGTTCTTCGGGGTCAGGGGCGGCGGGCTAGGTTTCGGGGTTTGTTTCAGTCGAGAGCCTGAAAATGTGGAGTTTCAACATCTACCCTAGAAAGCCTACCCTAAACCCTAAACCCTAAACCCTAAACCCTAAACCCTAAACCCTAAACCCTACCTCTTTAAGGAGTTCTGTGGGGTGCCCCGGTAAGGGCCCGATCAAGGCCAGGTAGGGTACTTAGGGTTCAGGTAGGCCCTGAGGGTTGACAATTCCGAGTCTCGCTGTGTTCTTAGAGCCCTTAGGGTTTAGGGTTTAGGGTTTAGGGTTTAGGGTTTAGGGTTTAGTATAAGCCTGGGTGAAGTGATACTTGGGGTTCCTTGATTCTAAATATAGTCATAATATCCTAACAGTTCTTCCTTGACAAAATCTAGAGTGTAACCTCAAAGCATATTCCTGGTTTTCGAGGACTCTATCACACAGACCGCACGCCCGAAACCTTCAAAGCCCTAAACGAGTTTGAACACCGATGAAACCCTTTTAGGATTTAGTGTTTAGGGCCCATAGAACCCTACACCGCCAATGTAGGACCGGTTTGTACGGGCTAAATCGTCTCCACACGCTGGCTTACACGGCTTCCTCAAGCTCTTGCAAGGCTTCTCCCTTCCAGCGCGAAATCCACAGACAAGACTTTCACAGAATTGAAAACCCCTAAACCCCAAGCCCTAAACCCTAAGCCCCTAAACCCCTAAACCCCGACATTCCACCAACCTGACACCAGGATGCTTTTGCAACCTTGGAAGCGCCACGGGAGTGGCTTCCGGGCTTTCGCGACACGGGAGAGCGACTTGGATCTGCGTTGAAGCTTTGCGGCCTTGTTTTTCGGGGTTTGGGTTTCGTGTTTAATTTTTTGTCTAAAGGGGGGTGGGGTTTAATGTAGGAACCTGATTAAGAAACCCTGGCCCTATACCCCTACTATATTGGGTTTCATAGTAAGAACCCTAATGAAAGCCCAGGGTTTCTTAATCAGGTTCCTATATTATGATGTGTCAATCATGACCCCGAAGCTGAAACCCTCAAACCTGAGCCCTGAACTCCAAACCGCAAACCCTGCCTTTTTCAACTTACACCGAGCACCTGGAACTCCAAACCGTATAGCTTATCTTGTCAAGTGTCACTGCAGTTAGCATAACCTCTAGTCTACTAGCTTAAGCTTCAAAGCCTCGTTCCGCAGACCCTAAACTCCCTAGACAGGCCTGTTGTGGGATCTAAGTTTGGGGGCTTATGGCGCAGAGCGAGGAGTTGTAAGTTTTTGTTTCTGAGGTTCAACCAACTCATCGCTTGGAAGTTTTGTTCGTAGTCGTAGTGTTTTGGGCTTGGGTCTTGCAAGTTTGACCGCGGGCTGGAAACTGAATTTAGGATTTGAGCTTCGTGGTCGGATAGACGGACCGAAGACACATTACTTCCTCCGGATCTCCGAGGCACTTCAACGACTTGAGAAAGGCCTGGCGCCGGATTTGCCACGAAGCTGCACTCGTTCCTAGGGTTTGGGAGCTCCTTACAAGTTCCATAGAGTGTTATGCCGGTTTAGGGTTGCATGGGGTTTAGGGTTTGGGTTTTGGGTTCAGGTTCTAGCTCCCTTATGTTGGTTTTCCTGTGTTGCGAGTGGAGGGAGCCATGATAAGAGTTTCGTAGCTGAATGGCTGCACTTTAAACCGCTTGCGGTAAGCTAACCCCTTATAAAACTGAAAGTGTACACTTTGTTGGTTGATGAACTCAGATATATACTAAGAGAGATCTGAAACCCAAAGACCCTGAAAACCCGAAGCTCCTGCACCTCGGCACCCTAGGTAGGAGCTATACATGCTGAATGTTAAGCACACTGTATAAGCGGTCTTTCTTCAAAACGAAACCCACACTTCCACACCCATCCTCCGAACTAAACTCACCCCTTATCTCCCTAAACCCTAAACCCTAACCTTGAGTTTCTAGTAACTCTTGGCTCGCAGCTAGCACCTGTAACCCCCAAAAGAACCACAGCAAGTGGCTGATCGAGCCATCTTCATCTCTGCAAGAGGGTGGTATAGGTCTCGGCCTCGAGCTATAGGACGTAATGTGGCTTGGGGGGTTGGAGGTTTGGGGTTTTGCTTTGGAGGGGGGTTAGATACAGGGGCAAGTATTTGCTCCTCGAACCCCGGCACCTCGTCTTATAAGAGCAATCGTGCAGGGGCCCAAAGTGGAGACCTCCTATGCAGGCTACCCTAAGGGTCCATGTACTCAAGCAGTATATACTTTGGCCTCAATGTAGTAGTCCCTATACAGGTACTCTGGATTAACGAGCTGTCGTGTCCGAATTAGTTGTGGAAGCTAGAGTGACTCGTGATAGACCCAGATGAGACAGATCTCGCTCCGCCCCGTTGCAAGCTTTTGGCTAAGGCTTGCGCTGTCACCCGGACAAGCAGCCAGCCACCCGCCCTGATCGGACAGTTCAGGGGAAGCAAGGCGTTCAGGAGTGGCGGTGCTTCTGGGGCTAGAGTCTACCCACGGCCCACTACGCACAGAGTTTGTCTCGCTTTTCTGCACCTGGAGTTCAGGATTCAGGAGTCAGGTCTCCCAGGAGTTGAGAAATTTGGTGATCGGACCTTCTATGTCTGGGACTGCCGTTTCTCCCATGGTTTCAGATTTAGACTTTAGACCCTGCTTGGTGGTGTAAGAGACATGGGAGCAAGCTCTTGAACACTAGCACATCGATTGGGCATCTTGTGGCTAGGAAATCTTCGGCTACTCATGACCTTTTAGCTCCAGGACAGCTTTAGGGTTTTGGGTTTAGGGTTAAGGGTTATCCGATCCATTTATGATTGGATGGCTGATTTACATAGCTGTGGAAACATGTCACACACGTGTAACTTTATGTGGTTTTCGGCACGCGAACTGACGTTCTAGGCAACGATGAAGCCTAGCTCAAAACCCTGTAACCCTAGACCCTACTCCCTGGAACCTCAAACCGGAACCATCTCTAAACCCCTAAACCTTATACCCCAATCTCTAGAACTCTGAGACAATAAAGGAAGACCTGGAAGAGGAGGCTGCAGCGGAATGGACTGCACAGCTACTTGGCTGATTTGCCCGAAGGTTATGGGTATACCCGGTATAATAGCGTTTGGGGTTTAGGAGTTTAGGGTTTAGGGCTGAGGGTCTGTAT